TGTTGGATGTAGGACTTCTGTTCTTTTCACATGGACGGGTGAGACAGCCTCGCCCCATATGGTTTGTTTAAGTAAGGACACTGTAATTGATATCAAAAGCATGAAATTGAACTGAAGTAGAAGAAAGAATTAAAATTTTTACATGTTGAATGGAACAGCAGAAATTGGAACAGAGCAGGAGGTAGCAAATTTAATTTAATAAACAGATGGACTGCAATTTTCTTTAAATTTATACATGACAGATATCAGCAGTTTAACAAGTTAGTCATTAATCATTACAGGTTAATCATTGAGCATTAATGTTTGATAATAGCAAGACGTAGGTTGACATTTAGGATGTTAGGTTACATGGAGTTGATTAAGTAGTACAATGGAACCTTGGTTTTTGAATGCTTGTTTTCAAATTTTTCGGTTGTCGAACTCAATTTCTTTGAAAAATTCAACCTGGTACTCGAGGTTTGCCTCAGTGCTTGAGTTCGTTGATACACGTATGGTCCAACCGAGCACGTGGCGCGCTTCAGTCTACCAGTATCTCCTGCCTAGTGATGACCAGGGTTCTGATAATAGCAGGATTGTGGTGATATTTAGCACTGTGCTCCATGGAGGGAGGAGTAATGCTGTGGGAGGGAGGGTGGTGGCGTTGTCTTCTGACTGTGTGTGGCCACCTTTTATTGACTGCACTCACCACACCAGCTTAGTGGTTCACTATGGTGAACACAAATGTAGATACTTATATATAACGTGTGTATAGAGAGTATAAACAGCAAGAGGAGTAGGTTGGGAGCCGCCATTTTGGTGAGGGAGGAGCGTCGTCTGCACGATTTATCATGTTGTTTACTGGTGACCACGATGGTCTTTTGGCACCATACCAGTTTACTTGTACAAGTGTGGTGAATAAAACATTAGATATTTATATATAATGTGTGTATATAGCGTAATAACACCACAAACAGTATTGTTGGAGGAGAAATATTAGTGCGCCTGGCCTTAAGGGCGGCAGCCACCAGCTGACTGTGTGAGTAGCTACATCTTTGTGCCTTTACTCACCACACAAGCTTAGATGTACAGTTATGGTGAACAAAACATGTAAATACTTATATATAACGTCTGTATATAAAAGCAAAAACAGTATGGTGGGAGGAGAATGGTGGCGAGCCAGGTGAGGTGAGGTAGGGAGGGAGTGGCAGTCAATGGCGGGTTGCCACTGCCACTCAGCATACCAACTTAGTGGTTCGTTATGGTGAACACGAATGTAGATACTTATATAAAGCGTCTGTATATAGTGAATAAAAGCAAAAACAGTATGGTGGGAGGAGAATGTGGGTGAGTCAGGTGACTTGAGGGAGGGGAGGAAGTAGCAGCCACTGGCACTGCCACTCAGCATGCCAACTTAGTGGTTCGTTATGGTGAACACGAATGTAGATACTTATATATAACGTCTGTATATAGTGAATAAAAGCAAAAACAGTATGGTGGGAGGAGAATGTGGGTGAGTGAGGTGTTGCTGGAGGGAGGGAGTGAGTGGCTGGCTGGTACAAGGCGGTCACTCCTTGTTACAATTTGACTCATAACAACAACTTAGTGGTTCGTTATGGTGAACAAAACATGCAGATACTTATATATAACCTGTGTATATAGTGTAATAACCGACAAAGTATTTGTTCACTGTTTAATGAACATAATTGAATCAACAATATGCACACCATACATTGGTAGGGGCCTCGTAGCCTGGTGGATAGCGCGCAGGACTCGTAATTCTGTGGCGCGGGTTCGATTCCCGCACGAGGCAGAAACAAATGGGCAAAAGTTTCTTTCACCCTGAATGCCCCTGTTACCTAGCAGTAAATAGGTACCTGGGAGTTAGTCAGCTGTCACGGGCTGCTTCCTGGGGGTGGAGGCCTGGTCGAGGACCCGGCCGCGGGGACACTAAAAAGCCCCGAAATCATCTCAAGATAACCTCAAGAAGATAACCATATTTTTGAGTACAGCAATGATTCACTCATTTTATTATATAAATATATCACACTACACACTATTGAATAATATTACAGGTAAACTACGAAAAATCAATCAGAGACATTGAAATAATTAGGTAATTATCTCTTTGTGGCAACTCCGGCCTGACAGCTTTTTTTTTTTTTTTTTTTTTTTTGTGATATATACAAGAGTTACTACATTCTTGTACAGCCACTAGTACGCGTAGCGTTTCGGGCAAGTCCTTAATCCTATGGTCCCTGGAATACGATCCCCTGCCGCGAAGAATCGTTTTTTCATCCAAGTACACATTTTACTGTTGCGTTAAACAGAGGCTACAGTTAAGGAATTGCGCCCAGTAAATCCTCCCCGGCCAGGATACGAACCCATGACATAGCGCTCGCGGAACGCCAGGCGAGTGTCTTACCACTACACCACGGAGACTGGCGATCAACAGACCGCCCGGGACACACGCTGAGTCAGCGCCTGTTTTTTGCCAGACTTCCCCGCCCTATAGCGGGCAATATATGCCACTTACGATTTTTTTTATTATTTTTCCCATGATCAGTGAACACAAATTAACAGGTTTAGAAGAAAAAAGTTTTTTTTTTTGTATGCGCCTGTGGGTGTCAAATGGTCAACCCGTTCTCGCAAATTTAATAAGTCAATATTGACTTATTAAATATGTGCATAGGTGACATACTTAACATAATAGTTTCCCTTGAAAAGCTTCATAGAAAACACCGACCTTACCTAACCTACTTATTATGTTAAGATAAGCATCTTATAGCTTCGTAATTACAATTGTTACTTAACCTATTATAGGTATAGGTTAGGTAATAATTGTAATTACGAAGCAATAAGATGCTTATTTTAACATACTAAGTAGGTTAGGTAAGGTCGGTGTTTTCTGTGAAGCTTTTCAAGGGAAACTATTATGTTTAGTATGTCACCTATGCACGCAACTAATAAGTCAATATTGACTTATTAAATTTGCGAGAACGGGTTGCAAATGGTATATAGCCATGCGCCATTTAAGGGTTAAATGACTTATTACACAGAAATATAAAACTTGAGATGGCTATAACACACATTAATCTCCCCAAATAATATTATCACCTACTACTGAGCAACTATAACACTAGAGACTTATCTGAGGATGTTTATCAGTCAACTGCCACGTCGCTATTACTCATTACCTCCAGCTCTCACAACCCCCCGCCCACCATCCGCCTAGACAGGGGGATGGCGACCGACTAATTTTACATAATTAAATGCTTATGACAAAAGTAATCGTTCTCAAACAGACATCAAATTATTATTGAAATAAATTAATATCTGCACATAAACTAACTAAAGAATTATGTACACTTTAATAAAGTGTACGTAAGAGTTCAGTAATAATAAGAGACGGCATCTGGCAACACAACAGTTGAACCTGTCTAGCTACTTGTCCATTAAGCTCACAGGTACAGCACCTGTCCACTTCAAGTCTACTTAACAAAGCCAGCCACATCCTCAATTATGTTGCCATGTCCTACTGCACATATCAAAAAAGTTAATTCACATACATGTATAAGTATTTATTACATTTTCTTATTATATGAATTTACTGTGAGAATCCACAACTGTGTGGATTCGTAACACTATCGACCGCCAGACCTGAGGCTCCAGAGGCTCCAGATACCGATCTCCCAAGCCAGTCAATGGAACCGGCGGATCGGTAAATAAGAGACCGTTAAATCGAGTGGTTCAATGAGCATGCCAGGGCTCGGTAGGCCCTGCCTGCAGTGGTAGGCCAGTGGTGCCAGTTTCAGAGCCGGCACAACCTTCAGAACCGACGATGTCTGGTCGGTGCGGTGATCTCTCTGCTCGTAAGTCGGCTTCTCGTCTTACGAGAAGGAGACGTTTGCAGCCATCTCCTCCTTTTCTGGCAAAGAATGAGACTGCTAAATTCTGGAGGGGTTCTTGAATTGTTGATGCTTGGTTGGTTCGGCCAGGGGTGCATCATGTGTTGTGTCTGGTTGCCGCTCTTCGCCATTACCTGTGCGCCACGTTCTCGGTGGCCGGGGACGCGCTCTGGGTTGACCCGGTTTTCCTTCTTCCCTGTTCCAGGGTTCGTGTCTCCCAGGTCGTTCACAAGGTTATTTGGTCCAGCCAGCCTGCGGTCTATCCTCATGCCCATGACGTTTTGTAAGTTTGCAGTGTTGGCTGCCGTCTTTGGCAACATTGTCTTGGGGTGACATTCGAGCCCAGGGTTTTTGGAGGTTGAATAGGGTCCTGGCTGCTCGCTACCTTGTCAGTGTTCCTGGCTTTAGCCGGGCATGTGTCGCATTGGGTCAGAGGTTGCACCCAGTTGTCTAGACTTCGAGTTGAGGAGTGAGTGGCAACCGCCTCCTGGGTAAGTCCCTCTTGTTTTATCTTTGGTAAGTAGCTTCGGGGAGCCAAAGGGCTCCTCCCAGAAAACCAGCATTGAATGTAATGAAACACCATTTTCTGGGTGAGACCCGGAGGCTCCCGGGAAGGAGGGTGCTGCGCAGACAGCTGCGAGGTGACGGTTGTGATGTCATGCTCATTTGCTCGTTTTTTGTTTGGGGGAAAGTTCTGTACAACAGTTAGGCTTTCAGTAGCAATATTTTCACCAGATTGGGTTTGTTTTGGGGCGCCTACCTTTCTGGGTGTCTAACCAGGTCGATGGCAGACATTGATTGCTTCCAACCACGTTGGGGGTTTCTATAGGCCATTGCTCCTCGTGCTTCTCTGAGGAGGCCAGGTTCTGGCTCGTGGTCCCCGTAGGCCTAAGAACTCCATTCAATGATGCCAGGGTCAAATACATTCATATCAGCCTGGATAGCTCCGGGGAGCCTCTGTGTCTTACCCAGAAAATGGCATTTCATTACATTCAACGCTGGTTTTTTAGAGTACTGTATTAATAAGTATAAAGATGCATTAAGATACTTTTGGATCATTACTTGCAATCATTGAAACAGTATAGGATGATAAATTGTATACTATTTTCCTTTCAGAGTTGTGGACAAAATTTGACAAACTGCCATCACTTACACGAGCCCAGTGCTTTGACGTTCCCATGTCAAAGTTATCTCAAGAAGACATGTTAGAAGGCAGTAATATGGGGCTTGATATGAGGCAAGCAGTATTCAGTCGAACGCCTCTTTCTTATAGGGTTGGAAACTCTACACTACATGTTCAGGTAAGTTTTTTAGAATTTTAGCTAATGTGCATCCATATACACATGCTGTTGTGTAATTACCTAAGTGTAGTTACAGGATGAGAGCTATGCTTGTGGTGTCCCATCATCCCAGTACTCATTGAAGCAACTGATGGTTTTGGCCTTCACCACCTTCTCACTTAGTTTGTTCCATCCGTGTACCACTGTTTGCAAAAGAAAACTTTCTAATATTTTTTTTCTGCAGCTTTGTTTCTGTAGCTTGAATCTATGACCTCTTGAAGTTACTGGTTTCAGGAATTCCTCTTTGTCAATTTGGTCGATTCCTGTTAGTACAGTGGAACCTCGATTGACGAGCGCCTCAATCTACGGGCATTTCAAATAACGAGCGTGCCACGCGGCAAAAATTTGTCTTGATTGATGAGCTTTCGCTTGATTAACGAGAAAAGCACATGGTGCTTCCTAGCATTCCCACTGGTTCTTGCAAATTCTCGGACACCTCCGACGATGCGAATAATATTTTTTTTTGTTTTAAAGATGCTAATGATGCTGGGATGTAAAGGGATGACTGCTGTAATGTTGCAAAGCACTGACTTTTATTTTTTAGATAAGGTTAGAAAAAAAATGAAAAAAATTGAAAAAAATTGAAAAAAGAACAAATGTCAAAGGTTCATTTAGTGAATGTCAGGTAGTCTGCTACATTTTCTAAAAAAAAAATAAATTAAAAAAAAAAATTAAAGAATATGAAAAAAAGAATAAAATCTCACAAAGGTTCGTTCGGTAATTGTCAGGTAGGCAGCTATATTTGGCATAAAAAAAAATAAAAAAAAAATGAACAAATTTGAAAAAAGGAAAAAGTCATAAAGGTTCGTTCAGTGTGTGCCAGGTAGGCTGCTCCATTATTAACCCTTAAACTGCGCAACGCGCCTTCAGGCTCACGTCTGGTTTGCGCAACGCGCCTCCGGGTATTTGTATTTTTCACGTTCCATTCAAAACTCCCGCGGCTACATGGGGTTCACATCAGCTTCCTCAGGGCTCTTGTAAACAGACGCCATCTTTAAGAAAAATCGTGGTCCACATTCCCGGGTGTGGGAGCCTCAGTAGTGTGTGAGCAACCAAGGCTGGCGCTCGCAGCATGAGCGCACAGCACTGCTGTTCAGCATGTGACCACAGCATCGCCTAATAATGTCAAAATATATATATAACTTGTATTATTTAGCTATGATAGTGTAATATTAGAGCCTGAGTGTGATAATGACTGGGTACAATGTTCAAATATCAGTGATTCAATGCTGTTCACGATGTTCACAGCGCTAGCCACAGCACCAGAGCATTATTTCGTTCATCTAGGAATCTTCAAATGATTTCTTAGGTTCCTTTTCAAAATAAACGTGTGGTCAATTATTCATTTACAGGAATTAGGGACCAGGATTGTGATAATAGCAGGATTGTGGTTATAATTAGCGTTGTGCGTAGTATTGTGGAAGGAGGAATTTTGATGAGGGAGGGAGGGCGAGAATTGAGGTAGCCTCATTGTGTGTGTGTGGCTGCCACTCTTGTTTTGCTCACCATACTAGCTTAGTGGTTCGCTATGGGCAACACATATGTACATGGGTATATATATAGTGTGTGTATATAGTGTAAAAACAGCAACAGAAGAATGTTGAGAGGAGCTATTTTGGTGAGGGAGGTGACGTAATCGTAGTGTCGTCTGCTGTGTGATTTTTCATGCAGTGTATGGTGGCCACTGTACTGTTTGGACACAATACTTGCATAGTTCTGGTAAATAAAACATGTAGATAGGTATATAGAACATGTGTAATAAGAACTATAACAATATGGTGGGAGGAGCAATGTTGGCGAGTAAGATGTTGGAGTGAGGGAGACTGGCTGGGTGTGGCTGCTCTCACTCGAGGTGTTCTGAATGTGTTCATGGCCAAATGCTCCTATTGGCCCATACAAGGCAGCTGCTATTGGCCCATACGAGGCAGCTGCTATTGGCCCATACGAGGCAGCTGCTATTGGCCCATACGAGGCAGCTGCTATTGGCCCATACGAGGCAGCTGCTATTGGCCCATACGAGGCAGCTGCTATTGGCCCAAACGAGGCAGCTGCTATTGGCCCATACGAGGCAGCTGCTGTTGGCCCATACGAGGCAGCTGCTGTTGGCCCATACGAGGCAGCTGCTGTTGGCCCATACGAGGCAGATGCTGTTGGCCCATACGAGGCAGCTGCTGTTGGCCCATACGAGGCAGCTGCTGTTGGCCCATTCGAGGCAGCTGCTGTTGGCCCATTCGAGGCAGCTGCTGTTGGCCCATTCGAGGCAGCTGCTGTTGGCCCATTCGAGGCAGCTGCTGTTGGCCCATTCGAGGCAGCTGCTGTTGGCCCATTCGAGGCAGCTGCTGTTGGCCCATTCGAGGCAGCTGCTGTTGGCCCATTCGAGGCAGCTGCTGTTGGCCCATTCGAGGCAGCTGCTGTTGGCCCATTCGGGGCAGCTGCTGTTGGCCCATACGGGGCAGCTGCTGTTGGCCCATACGGGGCAGCTGCTGTTGGCCCATACGGGGCAGCTGCTGTTGGCCCATACGGGGCAGCTGCTGTTGGCCCATACGGGGCAGCTGCTATTGGCCCATACGGGGCAGCTGCTATTGGCCCATACGGGGCAGCTGCTATTGGCCCATACGGGGCAGCTGCTATTGGCCCATACGGGGCAGCTGCTATTGGCCCATACGGGGCAGCTGCTATTGGCCCATACGGGGCAGCTGCTATTGGCCCATACGGGGCAGCTGCTATTGGCCCATACCGGTCCGTCTAATTACCACAAGCTACACAAGCTTCACTAAGCTTCCTGGCAATACGTTAGTAATGAATAAATATGATATATTTACTCATTATAATGTTGGTGCTGAATGTACAACACGAAAAAACATAATTTTAATCTGAAAAAGTATCTTTTTATAAAGAAATTAGGCGAAAATAAAAAGCTGGTGATGCCAAATCAAGTCGACGATCCAAGTGTCGGTTAGGTTAGGATAGGTTAGATTAGGTTAGGTTAGATTAGGTCAGCCTAACCTAACATATCATATTTATTCATTACTAACGTATTGCCAGGAAGCTTTCTGAAGCTTGTGTAGCTTGTGGTAATTAGACGAACCTGCCCATACGAGGCAGCTGCTATTGGCCCATACGAGGCAGCTGCTACGCAGTGTTCTGAATGTGTTGATAGTGTGTAAATAGATTGTATATATACACAAATTAGCATGATACATAGTAAATATGTGCTGCATATGTGTACACAAGTTTCATGCACGTAACACAGTGTCTACGGACAGTACGGATGTTGTACTGCGATATTATAGTGTACATGTTCATTATACATTGGATTGGCACATAAAAATAATGAAAATGTATTTGGAAAGGTGCGCAAAAAATGAACGAAAATATATTCGCGGCAACTCGCGCGCCCCGCCCCGAGCGCCCCACTGCCCCCGAGAGCTTACGGCACGGGCGCACGGGGAATGATGATGTCACGCCCCAACTTCCAGACCCCATAGCAGCCAAAGTAAGTACAATTTCGACTTTTTTTTTACATACCCATACTGAGGGAAGGGTTTTTGACACTTTAAAAAGAAAAAAGAATTTTTTCCAGAGAATTTATTTCCTGCGCACTGCGGGAGTGTCACATTTGGAGGCAACGCAGTTAAGGGGTTAATACAAAAAATGAAAAATGCAAACCAAGTTGAACAAATATGAAAAATAGAAAAAATGTCATAATTCGATTTTTTAAACACTGGAGCATCCTACCTGACAAACACTGATTGAATCTTTCATGACGTTTTCTTTCATATTCTTTCAATTTTTTTAATTTTTTTAATTTTTTGTTTATTTTACTTTTTTATACAAAATGGAGCAGCCTACCTGACATACACCGAACGAACATTTTTCTGGAAAAAAAATGAAAAACTAAAAAAAATTGGACAAATTTGAAAAAAGAAAGAATGTCATAAAGGTTTGTTCTGTAAATATCAGGCAGGTTGCTCCATTTTCTTAAAAAATAATGAAAATTAAAAAACAAATTGAACAAATTTGAAAATTGAAAAATGTCATGTTCAGTGTGTGTCAGGTAGGCTGCTCTAGTGTTTAAAAAATCGAATATCATATTGATGTTTTTCCGCGGTAGAACGAATTAATTTTATTTCTATTATTTTAAATGGGGAAATTTGTTTAGAAAGACGAGCGTTTCACATGAAGAGCTCGGTGCCGGAACGGATTAAATTAATTTATCGAGGTTCCACTGTATTTTGTAAGTGGTGATAATACCACCACTTTTTCTTCTAGCCTCTAGCTTTGGCATATTTAACGCCTCTAGTCTCTCTTCGTAACTTTTTTTTAAATTCCGGAAACCATTTTGTAACATGCCTTTGCACCTTTTCTAGTTTATTAATGTCCTTCTTGAGATATGGGCACCATACAAGTACTGCTTATTCAAATTTTGGTCTCTCAGAAGTCATGAACAATTTCTTTATTATTTCACCAACCATGTACAGTAATTAAAAGTGATTCTGAAATTAGAAATCGATGTATTTGTTCCTCGCACAATGTTCTTTGTGTTCCTTGGGTGACGACTTACTATCCAAAATCACCCCTAGATCTCATTGTTAGATTTCTTTCATTCCTTTCTGCATAATTTGTAAGTTGTGTGTGGTCTATTTTCTCCAATTCCACATTCCATACATAACATGACATTGATTCACATTGAATTTCATTTGCAACATGGCACTCCAAGCACTTAATTTAATTAGATCAATTTGAAGGGCATGACAATCATCTAGGTTTCCTATCTTCTCTAGTAGCTTAGCATCATCAGCAAATATGTACATATAATTCTGTATTCCTTCTGGTAAATTGTTTACGTAGATAATGAACATTACTGGTGCAAGAACTGAATCCAGCCAGCCACTTACTCCCTTCCTAAACACCTCACTCGCCCAAATTCTCCTCCCACCATACTGTTTTTGCTTTTATTC